AAACAGAGATTGAAAAATTTCTTGGCATTAGAACAGTAATGGATCCAAAACGCTGTATTCTTGGTGTTGGTGCCTTGACTGGTCAAAAGGCTAAATTGCTAAGTATCATGTTGTATGCTGCACCCCTTTCAATCCTGCAGATTTGGCTGGAATCCTATCCACCTACGTTTTCAATGTGGTATAATAAATTAGGCGAGGCAAGGCAGATTTAGTTCTCCAGTGTATTGCAAGGAACCATAGATGAATGTGTAAAGAGTGGCCAGCAATAATTTGTATATATATATATATTTTTTTTTTTTTTTGTGTGTGAAAATGAAACGCAAAAATTACAATACCCACTAAAATGGTGACTCATATCGGGATCACAATAAATTTTTTTTTTTTTTTTTTGCATATGGTTCAGTCCCATTATTGAAACTATCAAAACTCTTGTATCATATCAGCACTGGCATAACCGACAAAGTCACTGAATGTGAGTCTGTAGCTGACTGGAGCAGCACACAATCTGACCTTAGAGCTGCTCAGAGCTGCCTCAGACTTCCTCAGTCAGGAGCAACACGAGTTTCATTGCCTTGCTCAAGGGCACCTCAGCTCCCAGCGATGAGTGAAGAAGACACTGAGGGACGGCACCACCTGCAGAGCCAGAGGTAAACACTCCCAAATTTATTGTCTTATCTTAAATTGCACATAATGTTGCAAAACACATACATACATACATACTGTATAATAATCACTGGTTTTAAGGTACATACATGTACTGTCCACCAGATGGCAGCACAACACAGCATTCCTCTAACATGAGACACTTTGTTCAAATGCTTCAAAATATTTCTCCTTTTCTTATTTTTGCTTCAGAGAATAAAACATCGTCAAAACATCGAGAGCATATAGAAAATAAAAACAATTAAAACTCCTGTGCACCACACAGTCCTGAACACAACATGATATTAACGTGAGATGAAACATACGAGTCCAGGTTGTCTCCATGGTAACAAACAGCATATTATTTAGTATTATTTAATTAGGTCCTCCTTATTTGATAAATCAGCCACAAGATTCAAACAGATGGTGTATTGCTCGTCGTCATCCTCCACAACAAAGCTCTTTTCTAACGAGACCACCACAGAAAAAAAAAACAAACAAAAAAAAACTTAATCCAATTACAAACTGAAATATTTTCTAGAGCCGAGTCCAAACACTCATTAAAATACTGTTCAAACATTTGGGTCAGCAGTCAGTCTGAACTCAGAGGTTTGTCTGTTCCCTCGGCTCCTTTTGATGTGAGGATGTGGGACGAAAACCCCCCACCCCCACCCCCCACCCCAACCCTCCTGTTTCACCCATTCCCTCTCCAACATTTGTCATCCCTGTGGAAAATCTCACAATCTGTTCAATAACTGCAGGATTTAAAACCTGCAAAACACACACACACACACACACACACACACACACACACACACACACACACACACACACACACACACACACACACACACACACACACCACAACCATCGTTACATTTTCCTCAAGTTTTTGGCAAAACTGTCCAAGGCATCGACATATATCAGTGCTCCTTCCACACACACTCTGGTAATAAGTGAATATGTTCTTATGAAAACCAGTTGTGACATTACTGAAGAAGCTGTGTCCAAAGTCACTCCCTCACTAACCCCAATATAACAGTCATTAGTTAACTCCAGTAGAAATGCATTGATACAGATATATAGATATATTACTCACATATGAGACAGACCATAGAAGCTATTTTTTTTGAGCAACACAATCTTTACAGAACCTTTAATGTCCCGACAGTAAAGAACAGATTTAATTATTGTGAACTTCTGTAGAACAATGTTATATGACCTCATCAGCAACAGAAGAACTCCACATCTTCTTTAACTGGTTAGTTGTTCCCTATAAAGTCCTGGACATTCAGTTACTAGTTCAATTAACTTATTAGTTGAAATTCCACTATACAATAACTATTAATAAAAAATAATTAAGTATCATTTGTCTACTGAGCAGTAAACTGAGGTTTCTGACACTTAGGATTCATTGTTTTGCATCTTTACTGGCAGGTGGAGGGTCACATGATTGTCATTTAAGCATCTTTCAAACAGTGGGATTTTTGCCAGGGCCACTACTTTTTTTATTTGAAATTTTGAGAACCCTGTTTAATAGTCAGATTTATTTTGGTGATAAATTAATTTATAAAGCAAAAAACACAACATTTTCTGGTTTAAACTGTGAGGATTTGAGCGCATATAACTGCATATTGATTATCTTCAAGTTTGGGCTGAAATAACAATCACTATAGAGAAACTGCGAGGGACTTTCCTTAATCATTTTCTGACACTCTAGAAGAAACGACTGATTAATCATAAAAATGATCAACAGCCTAGTCGACATCTAAATTAATAATTAGTTGCAGCCTTAATTGGGACACTTAGATAAAATGATGGGATATAAATATAGTGCACAGTATGGTAAACAGAGTGACTGTGGGTGTTATTTTGAAAACAGCTGTGACTCAGCTGGAGAAAAGGATCAAACAGATTCACTGTAAAAAAAACAAAAAAAAAACAAAACTAAACTAAAAGCAGCATGAACATGTGCTGAAGCCAGAGGAAGAGAAAATAGAGAAAGAACGACAGATAAAAGAAAGACAGTTTAAGTGACAGCAAACAGTGAAACTTGTAAGCCGACTTGTCACTGTATAAAATGTGTGTGGCAAATCCAAACCATCTGGAGCTTCAAGTCTGATAAAAAGTAATTACACAGAAGGCTGGATCCCAGTCAACAGTCTGCGAGAGAGAAGGAGTGAAAGAAAACGATGGTGGAGACAGAAAAACACAGAGGTACAGAAAGACCTTGGAAAGCAAACATTAGTGTAAAGCCCAAAAACTCAAAATAGCAGACACCATACTTCAAGCCTCCTTCGTTAAACAACCTTCGCAAAACATTTCAAGACTTTCCAGCACTTTAAAAACCATCTGATAGAGAAATAAAAAGTCTGATTATAGAGCTACATCAGTTCTTCATGCAAAACACCAAACACATTCCTCGAGGTAGCAGATGACACTGTTCCTGTTTGTTTCATTTACATAGTTTTTTTGTTTTGTTTAGTTTTTGTTAAGATGCACAAAACGACTTTTTTAGTTTGTCACTGAAACCTTTCAGTTGAAATAAAAAGAAATATTTGATGTTTTTGACCCAAAAACAAACAGATAGTGTTTTAGAGAAGACGTCTTCAAATGTATAAAGTGTCTGCTGAAGAAAAAAGTAAAACCATGATATAGTGTTCCAGCTGCCAAAACAGCTGGTGAGTGTCTAATGTCTGTGTTTCTACTGTCAGGATGGGAAATGATGACCAGCCACATCGGCAAGTTGGCAGCTGGATTTATCAATATCACACAAAAGAGGAAGTCTAACACCCTGTTGAAATCAGCAGCTGGAGCTGATGTTTAGGAAGCAGTCATGTGGGACAGGTGGGCTGATCCCATCCTGGGAGCTACTCAGGCGGCGTTCACAACAGGCGTTTTTGAAGCATCAAGAATCGAGCTGGAAATCCCAAATCGTTCAGCTTCAACATCAGCGATTCTTCATATCGAAAACCCAGAATGAGCCACGGCAGAGAGGACGTCTTTACACATGTGGTCAATATTTGGAAAACTAGACGGACAAAAGGAAACGCATGCAAAATACTGATCTTAGGAGAGTGTGGAAAAGCTGGGATCCTATATACAGCTAAAGTCAACTCAGTTTCATTTCTTAGTCCGGGTAAAGACAGAAACATACTGAAGATGTCCTTGGACCGTAGACTGAGGCTGAAACTCATGCTGCTATAAAAGCTTTAAAATGAGACTATTTACCCTCTGAAAGAAGAAAAAAACGCAGCCTTCCTCTCATATGTCAAAAGATGATTTCTCAAGGAATAAAACACACCCTGGTTTACTGCGATACACTCAGGTGTGTCACTACAGCCTCACCTGGTACGACCAGTAGCTTGTGGTGGCTAATGTTAGCAAGACATTTGAGTATCTATAGCTCCATAGATGGACTCTAACTTGTTTTTAGTGTTTTATAATTGTCTGACTGTGTTGTTTGATTGAGACTGGCAGAACTAAGAGCTCTGAAACATTTCCTACATCTTATTTTTTTTCTCTTATTTTCATTACAGCTTGAATATAAATAATGTTTTTCATCTATTTGACAGGTTGTAGCTGTATCTGTGCAGCTTAGCTGCTGAGCTAAAAACAAATAAACAAAATAAATAAATATCCCTGTGTAAATGAGATTACTGAATTAATTTGCTGGTTTTGTGACTCTTCTCTACTTAAACTGCTGTTACACTACGAATCAAAACGATCTCAACTGTAAAACAGGAAGTAAACACAGCTCACTTGAAAACATGTTGACTAATGATTTTTTAAATGTCGGGTTGTGAATGTTTTTAATCAACCAAGAAGAAGCAGCTTATAAAGGAATCAATGAAGAATGGGATCAATATGAAGAACCAATGAAAGAATCAGAACAGGTGAAATCCCTACAACACCTATACCTATTTTCAATCAGTGAATTTAAATGAGAGTGAGACTCTGACTGAAAACATCGCGGCTCGGTGCATCAAAGAATCTAAAGAGCTGAAATATCAGCAGCCAGTGAAAGTTTCACAAACGGCCTCAGAGGGTCTGGAGGAAGATAAAAGTGTGAACGCCGCCTGAGCAGGACAGAGAAACATCAGACTGTGAGGACATTTTCTAAAATTGACATCAGCAGTATCCAGTGTGTAGGTGTGACGGTGTTGTGTGTCTGTAGCGACCCGTTAGGACGAGCGTGATGCCGCGTCGTCACAGGGTTGTGCTTCTGCCTCTTTCTCCTTATCGTCATCCAGAAACAGCAGTGGAAACATGCCCAAGATACAGCCGATGGACACGCCAATGGCTTTACCCTGCAGGAGGAGGAGAAGGAGAAGGAGGAGAAGAAGAAGAAGAAGAGGTAGAGAGAAGAGATTCAATTAAAACTTTTTTTTATTTTACACTCAAACTTAAGAATAAAGCCTGTTAAAGTCATAGACATTGTTTTGCATGACATTACAGTGCAGCTTCAAAACGTTATCTGAGGCTAAATATATCATTTAGAACAGGGTTGATTTATCTCTCCATCTCCAGGTGCTGCTTGCTTTAAGCTCTTACCTCCAGATTTGCTCTTAATAGGATCTTAGGCCACGTTTCTTATTCTTCACTTGTGCAAATGACAAGAATGAAGAACACTTTGATTTTCTCTTTCTATGCCCCTTTGTTGTCTGTGGATTCTCCTCAGGTTTCCTCTGACGTGCCTCCTCCACCTGCAGCAGACTCATCTCCCTGCTCCACTTTAGCCAAGCTGTTTGTTTACTATAGTTTCATGTCTATACGGTTGAGGGCTACTTGTTATTAATGGGCATGTGTAAAACACAAATATTTCAGTTTTTTTCAGTTTCACAAAATACAAAAACATCCCTAGTTTGACTCTGGCCAGGGAGTCTTTTTTTTCTCTTTTCTTTGCATGTCCTCCCCTCTCTCTCTCTCTTCCATCGTTTTCTTTCATCTCTTCTCTATTGGCTATTTAATAAAAAGCATAAAAATGTCCCAAAAACAATTAAATCAAATATCAAAGTCTCACCATGTGAGAGCTGAGTCTGGTCTGCCACATATCCACCTGTTTGGGCGTCAGATCTGGAACCTGCATCCCCAGTTTGGAAGCCAGAGCCTCCACATAACCTGCAAGACTACACACACACATTCACACTTGTTTAGTTATACTTTTGTGGGGCTTAACACACAGCAAACAATTACCATCACATATTTAATGACATCCTGGCCCTTGACCCTGAACCTAAAGATGAAGTTATGTTACTTTAAAGACTGTCCTCACTCTGTCACATTAAAACTGGTCCTCACAAGAATATAAAGATGAAGCAAATACATATCCGTGTTAAATTAACATGTGTTTGATTGATAAAAAGGAAAAAACACACACCCGAACAAATAAGTAAGAGTGTGTTAAAAAGCCTGGAAGGAAAAACCCAACACAGAATATGCAATAGATGAATTCAAAGGAAAAAAAAAAAAAAAATCAAGATGAAGAAAACGTGGTCCATTAATTTACACTTTTAATTTAAAAAAACACACCCACACCACTGTACCCTTCAACAGACCTCACACATCTACCTCCGAATAAAGCTGAACCCTCAGAGACAGTGTATAAGGCTGCTTACCCGAGACCTGCCAAATCTGAAACCAGGTTCCCCAGAGCTGCAGCTGCAGAAACACAGAGGGACACACTTTGATTTCTGATCTTCTCTGATGAAACAAACGTGGGGTAACAGAGGAGAACACATCACATGCTATGAAGGTTTTACTGATTGGAAACGTCTCATTTGGTGAGACTGAAAATGTTTTAGGGGAAAAGTGTGAAATAAAGTGTTTCTAAAAAATGTTGATCTCTCTCGTGGGGTTTTGATGATACAAGTGCTGTCAACATTTTCAGGATCATCCTTTCATTTTCATTTTTCAGATTTTGTGGGGGCTTTAGATGAACTGCTGCTCCTTCGTGTCAAAAGAACCTAGTTCGGGAGGCTCTGGCATCTGATAAGGACCCTCAAAGACGTCTGCCTTTAGTGGTTTTACAGAAGAAGACTGGTAGAAGACCCTGAGGCAGAACCAGAGCACACTGGAGGCATTTGATTGGGGCGGGGGGTCAATGATGAGAACCCAGTCCAAGAAAATGGAGGTGCACCGGGATCTGTGCCAGTATACCCAATGGCCGGTCTGACTATGAAGAGTTTTGTGGTACCTGGGTGGTGCGAGCTAATATTACGCTGGTGGTCACACTGAATTACATTAGGTAGTAAAAATCTATCTAACTTAATGTCAGCTAGTTAAATCTACCTCTTTCTCTCCTGCATAGGTGTGTGACCTGTCTCCGCTTCCCGTATGATTCATTTTAAATGTATAAAAAGGAAAGCGTATCTCATCTGGACAGGATAGCCAATGGGAAGCTGAAGGACACAGCTGGGAAGGAAGAGGTCCGGGATTTGCTTAACCTGGGACCTGGACCTGAATGAGTGTCCGACAATAAATGGATGGATGGAGAACTGAATGTTTCGACTGATGCTGAGGCTATAGTCCTTCCTCTGAGCCTGTCGTCCCTCCAACATGCCTCCATTTGAGGAAAACTTTAGAAACTCGCCCACACGTGACAATCAGAACGAATAAGAGAACATACCTAAACTCCACAGTGCCAGTTGGCCCACATTGCATCTCTGAAAACACAAAAAGATGTAACGCAGGGAAAGGAGTCCAAACAATAGATCAAAGCAGCAAAACACAAGATGAGAGTCAGTGGGAGTGAGAGAAGGTGCAAAACTTTTTTTCAGATCAAAGAGCACCTTTGGAAAACCACCAAGACTCTAGTCAGCTCCTTCCTCTTCTGCCTTCATGGTTTAGGTGTCAGCAAAAAAAATCAGCATCACAACAGTCCCACTTAATGTACTACCTCAACAGTGCTTGGCAGCTATGAATAATTCACGCTGTGGATTCGGTTTTCACAGGGGAGGGCTGACAATGTGGTACAAAGTGTGCATGTCCACGGTCATTAACACTGTAGAGGTGCTCAGGATGTGTTTGTTGTGCCCTCAGTGGATCTCTGGAGGCACAAAAAGCGAAGATGCTTGAAGCGGAACGCACTCGAAGTTTCCTGAGGGAGCTCAAACGCCAGATGGAGGTTCCTTCAAAGAGAAACTCTTCGGCGACGAGGTAAGACGGCGGTAATACAAGCTCGCCTCAATTCGCCAGAACCTCTGACACTGATTGATAACTGTGAGGAAAAAGGAGTGACACAACAGACACCGGGAAGGTCTCTCCTCAAATAGAATAAAAGAAGTGGTAAACTAGTTGAGCATGTCTGCCGGCTGGATGATGATGAAACAAATATAAAGCAGTGCCTGGATAGATAAAGGCGTCAGAGCAGAGCTATTGATCTAGAGCCCGTCTTCAGCCTCTGATTTGCACTTTGCAGAGGAAATTGGAGCCAAGTATCCATGGAAACGGAATAATCTTGCGGTAAAAGGAGGGAGAAGGCAAAGCTCCAGTGCCTTCATGGTTTTCATGGTGTAATAAAGACCCAAACTGAGACCCCGAGCTGCAGCCATAATGACAGCAGGATGTGCTGCAATAAACTGCAATGAGATCTGAAGAAGAACCAAGTGTTAAAAAAAAAAGACATTTTTGTGCATTTTTGTGCATTTTCGTGTGTGTGTGTGTGTGTGTGTGTGTGTGTGTGTGTGTGTGTGTGTGTGTGTGTGTGTGTGTATATATATATATATATATATGTGTAATAAAAAAATGTTGAGGTGATGAGGAGGGGGCACTATTTTCAGATATTAGATGTAGTGTGTGAATGAAAGCAATAACTCATGTGAGGACTTGTGGTCATAAAATTCATGCAGTGGTTCTTACCGGCCATGGTGGAGATCCCCAGAGTGACTCCAATAGAGAGTTCAATCTGTGTTCCCTGGAGACCAGAAAGAGAGTCAGGTGAAGTGTTGATCCAGATCTCTAATGACTTCCATTTGCTCAGATTATATTTCACAAAAATCTGTGTTTTTCTTTCAGGCGAGTAATTCCAGTAAAGTTAAGCTTCGTGGCTGTGTAAATAACTTCACTTACTGCTGCAATCATGATGGCATTATCGAGGAAGCCAAAGCCAACAAAGGGGAGGGCGTTGTGGAACAAAACTGCAAACGAGCAGAGACAAGATAATAAATACTGGAAGGATTAAAACAGAAAATCTGACACTTGACAAACGATTAAAAACAGAAATTCTTCTCATAGCTTAACGGGCTCTGTCTAATCTAAAGCCTCCATAATCAATCAATCATTTTCTCATTTATTTATCAAAGCCTCTGAGATCATTGAGGTTTCCCTCATATGCAATGATGTTGAGATACAATGAAATACACAGAGATAAAATTCAAAAGAGGACAATGTGCAGTGAAAGCATTTGCACACTGAGGTGAGGTGGCTGTAGATCATCAGTAGTGAGCGTGTCCATCTTCAGAGTGCGTTTGGTGGTTAAAGGCAGATTTTCTGAGTTCACAGTAAACCTGCAGGACTTGAAGCATAAGGCAGTTGTGGTCCAGTCCAGGACAGATGTTATAAGGTGATGAAAGTCCAATAAAGGCTTTCCTTTTATTAGTGCTGTAAGCCAAGCATAAAAATTGCTGGTCATTTCTTGGCCTGGGAGTTCATGGAATTCATTACCACTGGACAGGTTAGCTGCTGACTATAGCTTCACACTGAACAGACAGATATGAGTGGTAGAAATCTTCTCATTTAACTCTTTCCCAAAAAGTCAAACTAATTCCTTTAAAGGATCGTTTTAATGAAAGAACCAAGACGAAGAGTTTTGAGATATAATTTGTAAAATGACAAAATGTTAACAAATACACTGGGACTCACTTGTTTTCAGTCTGTTGAGCACAGTATATGAGATATTACAGCATTCATAATGTCTGACACCAAAGATTTTTTAAAGAGAGAATTATATTTCCCTCTTTATTAAATGTCAGATGCAAATCCCAGTAAAAGAATTTCCTGTAAAACCTCTACAATATTTTTTTTGTTTTTCGACAATATGAACACTGCTCCCATCGTAGCGAGATATTGTTTTGGAAATGACTCTTCCCTTGTGAGTTCAGAGGGAAATGTTGGCTTCAGAACACAGTGGAGTCTGATTATGAGGTCAGTTATTGAACCCAGGTTATCTCTGATGCTCAGACTTGACAGAACAAACTGTTATTTGATGGAGAGGTTGACAAGAAAAATCAACAGAGCTAATTACAGTCTGTATTTGTGTGTCGCTGACAAAACAGCTTTCATCTACAGTATCAACACAAAAAAAGCTTGTGTGTGTGTGTGTGTGTGTGTGTGTGTGTGTGTGTCAGATATAATCTCTCACCAAATCTGATCTGCGCTGCAGTCGGCGGCGAGGGCTCCAGGGTCTCTGAGAAGAAAAAAACATCAAAACATATGTGAAGTCGGCTCATTAACTGCTGAGGTTCCACTTTAAGTGCCTGCGGCAACGGGGAGAAACTGTTTTCTGATCCCAGAGTCATCACAGTCGCCTCTCGTGTTCAACAGGTTACACTCATCGCTCCGCAGTGACTTCTCACAGAGAGACAGAAAAGCTGTTTTCCCTCTGTGTTGTGTAACTGTAGAAACCATCACTACGCACCACGTGACCCAAAACTCCACTAATGAGGGTCACGTGCCGACAGCACACTGGACTGGAATCATGTCTCATTTCTGTCTATTCACACCATCAGTTAAATAAAGAAAATATCAAACTGATACTCGCCAGTTTTGACCTTCAAAATAAGAGCAGACCGGTCTTAAATACAGAAACTATCAACCTTTCATAGGAGCTGATTTAACAGACAATAAGGTTCAAGTCCTGGATCTGGACAGTACCAGCACCTACTGACAAAGAGCTCAAGGTTCAAACAACATCCCTGTGAGCGGTGTCATCATGTACAGAGGGAGAAATTAAGACAGAGAAATATGAGAGATGGTCAGATTTTAAAACTCTATTAGCACAATTAGGGATGGGAATTGTGAACCGGTTCCAAGTGGTTCGATCCATCAACATCATTTGCCTTCCACTTAGTTCCACGTGCCTTGCAAAACAATGATGTCACGCTTTCGCAAGAGGCGGTCAGCGCAAAACGACAACAAAGGAGTGGAAGAAGTGTGGCTTAATTTCACACAAAATGACGCTTACGGCGCAACGTGCAATGTCTGTGGCACTAAGGTTTCAAGCAAGGGTGGAAACACCAGCAACATGCTAAAACATTTGTTGACGTAGCACAGCATTAAATATCAGGAGTGCCATGTGTTCGACGCTCTACGCCGCCGGTCAACGAGTGCTTCCCAGTCTCAGCAGAGCAGTGAAGGTACGTAATAGCGAACCAGCCAGCTCTTTTAAGTGAACAATAGGAGGCAGCTCCCATCCGAGAGCCGGTTTTTCTTTTTTAGCAAATTAATACAAGGCAGACCTAAAGAGGCAGACAGCAGCCCGTCCTCGAGGGACTGAACAACTACAGAGGAGTTATTAGTTGTTCAGTGTTCAGAGACTCATAATAAAATTTGTGTTGTTGACATTGAAAACCTGTATAGGCCTACTTTTTTCCCCACACAGAAAATCCACAGGAATCGATAAGGGAATCGATAAAGAATCGGACCCATAAGCAGAACCGATAATGGCATTGCTCCAGAATGCTATCAGAGCAGTCAATGCTATCCCTCTCTCTATGTTCAAGAATCTCTTGAAGACTCATATCCTCTCAGAGCACCTCCTCTCCTAACAGCCTCACATGCCTAACTAGCACTTACTATACACTTTAAATAGATATAGTGCTTACACCAGGGCGTCCTACTGCACTGAAGCTTTAGAGATGTCCTTTACTTTTAAGTTGCTTAGGATAAAAGCGTCTGCCAAATGAGTCAATGTAAATGTAATGTAAAACTAAATGGAAGACAGGTGCATTTGATAAATTCAGTGAATTTTACTCGATATAAAAACTTAAGCTAGTACAAAAAAGTTTTTCTCAAAATAAGGTACTGAAGTATTGTTTCAGCATCTGTTCAGAAACTCAAAACAACAGAAGAGGTAAAAACTCCAGCAACACTTGTAGCATAAAGAACAACTTTACTGTCAGAGATTTCAAACAGTCCCCAGCCCTACAGCTAGAAGGTGGTCTACCCTGAAGGCGTTTGATTGGCGTGTAATTGATCACAGGATGATGTTCAACAGTGCTTAGACAAAAGCTGAGCCAGGATCAACTTTTTAAATCAGACACTGTTGAGACTTCAGTCAGAGCCTCTGCTGCAGGACCACCACTGTGCCAACACATTAAAAGAGAAAGATGAGGCTGCATTTTCTAAATCTGTCTGAACAAGGCCTCAGAGCAGAGCACCTTCAACATGGCTGCCCAAGGTTACAGTATGTCAAGTCAAATGAAACTCCACAGTTCCCCTGGTTCACCGTTTCTAAATAACACTGCCTTCACGAAGTGATGGATTTGTAGAAGGTAAACATCTGACACACACAAGGATGCGACAGCAGAGTAAAACTACAACTGCTGTGGAAAACCTCTTTTTTCAGGATATTTCTCTGCTTCCAGACTTTCCAGGACACTCCTGGAGCCTGAGACTGACACCAAGGAGGACAATATGGTAAACCATAAGACAACTATATTCATGTTTACAAAATAAATTTAGATTTTTAAGTTTTAAAAGTGATTAAATGACTGTTCAGAATGATATTTTAACTTTTAACCAAAGAAAAATGTATTATAGAGAAAAATTTTAATGTAGTTATCAAATGATAATATGATAGAAGTGTGTGAAAGGAGTCTCTGATAGTGATGAAACTACAGACAATTATCAGCTGATTCTGAAGCATATCTTTATAGTTTTAAACCGAGTTTCAGCTCACTGTTTATCTGTTCTCTTTCACCCAGTGTCGGTGAAGCCTCAACCTTCACCCAGTGTCGGTGAACCTTCAACCCCAAGAAGTCGCAGCGGACAAATCCAGGGCTGAATATCTTTCCCAGTCCAACCCGAACCTCACAACATGTTTTCATCCACAGCTGTTTTCAGAGAAACATCTGTAAAAAGCCAATGTCCGCTACTTACTCAGCAGCAAACAGCAGATAGATACAGTCAGAGAGCAGCTTGTGAACATAGTGGAGCATTTAGCAGCTAAAAAGCCAGATGTTTCCCTCATGAGCTGGTGGAGACCGAAGACAGAGCTAAAAGCGAGGGAACACTGGACTCATCTGGAGATTCATCACCTAGACATGAACACAGCTCTACATGAATCATCATGTTGTTCTGTAACTGCTGGATGTGGAAATAAACAGCTGCTTCCAAACACGTTCAACATATCAACTTACAAGGTGATGATATGTCAGTGTTATGTTTACAGCTTGTGTCTGCTGCCCCTGAGTGGCCAGAAAAATCCGTTATTGCAGGTTTAAAAAAAATGAAAATATTTAATAATTTACATACTAAAAAATGTATAAGCACAGCTGTTAAAATGCCAAGTTCAGAGCTAAATAAAAGTGCTGTTCTGGGTAAAATAGAGAGCAGGATTATCAGGATTCAGTCATTTCACATCCTGGTCTGGTCTTCAGTCTGACTCACTGGTGAGAGAGGAAGCAGCAGACCTGAGCTTTGCGTGGAGACACTGAGCTGACGGCAGAGAATTGGGTCACTGGAGCAGAGTGTGATCTAGCCGAGGGACCATTTACAGGAGCAGGTCGATAACAGTAAAGGGTTAATCTGCCGAGGTCCTTCTCCCTCTGACGTGTGTGTGTGTTTGTGCATTTAAATGAGCTTAATGCCCACAAACTTCACTAACTTTTTTGCTAAGGCTTGGGGCAAAGAAGATAGTGCAGAGTGTGAGAGTGAGTGTGTGTGCAGCTGCATTAAGTAGCCAGAATCCAGACTCATCTTTCAACACAAACCGGCAGCAGCGGCGTGGACAGAATCAGTTCTCTGAACGACCAGCTGCTGTGGAAAGGTCAGAGTCTGTTTTAGCACAGACGAGTCAGAGGTTTCTTTCTCAACCACAACCAAGCCAGGAACATCTGCTGCCCTTCATTCACCACAACATCTGGGTCAACATGAACTACACCTGTTGCTTTTTACTACTTAACACACATTTTTCACTGTTTTATATCATGATTTAAATACTGAACAAATAATTGATTGTACATAGTTGTTTTGGCTTCTATGAAAAGTTCATTCATATTTCCTGTAGTGATTTTAGACCAGACACAAAGGGTTGGGGACGATAATCAGAGTCGTTCAAAACAATGACCTTTTTAAACTGATATTTATGAGTTTCTATGCGTCTAACCTTTGTACAGCCTCTGTTAGTGGTGGCCCTTCTCTCAATGTGACAGATGAATAAAGCAAAATTTAAACTCTTGTAAAATAAAAACTATATATGATCTCCATTAGACCCACCTTCACTCGCCACAAATTCCCTCTCTTTCCTCTGAACAACTTTCTTTCTCCCTATTAAAGAAAAAAAAAAGACATCAATGTCAAAAGGTTTAAGCAGAGGAAACCACCTGTCTCAGCCTGAGTCCGACTCTCTGGGGTTTTTGTGCCATTAGGTTCACACGGGGTTCTGGTGCTTCCCTTCTGCTGAATGAGCTAAAGTTGCCAGGCAACAAATTCTGCAGCAGTATCGCTTAGCAACAATGTTTATCCAGGATGTGACACAGGGACTAACTGGAGGATGAGGGTGAGAAAATTTTACTTTGGTCGTACTCATTTTTTAAACCAACGGGTTCCCCTTGCTGTGCATTCAAATGCTTCAAGTACATCAACATAAAGTATTTCCACTACAGCAGCAGTGAATAGTTAAAATCGCTCCGGGGCAAGTTATTCATCTCTGTGACCAGAGAAACAAACATCATCTACAAGTTTCCCAAAGTTTGTCTTTAATCCTGACTCACTAGTTCCTGTTTTAGAAAGTTAGAATATAAAGGCAAAGAGAGGGAAGCCTCTGAGACTGAGATAAGACAAACAGCTACAGCTGAACGTGATAGGCTGAGACACCTGTCAATAGCAAAAAAAACTGACTGAAAAATAGCACACCGCCTGTATTCAGAAACTGAGCCTTAAAATGAGCCGTCAGGACTTCTGTAACTTTGTGATGTCACAACAAAGCAAGTCACTGCTCTCAGCCATGCCCCAAGCCCAGCCCACTTCGACCCACCATCCTACCTCAGAGATCCTACCTCTGAGTGTTTACCTGAAATCTGCTATATTTTTATTTGATCACTCAGAAACAGTCAGCCAATCAGAAGAGAGGCTCAGAGCCTCCTCTCTTCTGATTGGCGCACCAACCTCTTGTTACTGGAGCTCCAGAAGGAAGCCTGAGAGAGGACATGTAAAACTACACTGAGATGGTTTTTGGTTCTTAAA